GACCCACACCCCAGCCCCTCACTGGGGGATTCTAGGCAGGGGCTCTAACACTGACCCACACCCAAGCCCCTCACTGGGAAAGTCTAGGCAGGGGCTCTACAGTTGAGTCACACCCCAGCCCTGGCTGCTAGGGTTAAATGGAGGAACAAGCTTTATTCCCTAAGGGTGTCCCCAACACCAGGCAGGCTGCTCATTGATTTTAGTTTGTCATAGCTGTTTGAGTCTGGATCCCACAGGTCTGCTGGGGTACAGGGCCTCCCATGCTCTGTGAGCCTCTGAAAGGAGGAAATTCATGGAGGGCAGTGGCCCCTGTTATCACACTCTGGAGGCCTGGGCAAGGGGATCTGGCTTTTCTGTCTGGGTTCTCACACTACAAATACTAAATATTTATACTCCTAGACTTGGGGGATGGGTGGTTTCCAAGCCTTCTCTTCTGTCCCTCCAGCCTCCTCTACCCACACAGCTCAGAGGCCCTCCTAGTCCTTCAGGTCTTCCTCAGATTTTGTGGGCTTGCTGTAGACCTCACTGAAGTCAGCGTCTGGTCTGTGAGAGGTGAGAGCCGGGTAGAAGCGGTGAGGGGTAGCTGTGTTGTCTAGACTGGTCTTGATGTGGATAGGGGGGGGGGGGGGGCGCTCCCCAGGCCTCTTGTTTAATTCTAGGCTTGCCTGAGAAGGCAGCCACATGTGCCAGACAAAGAGAAGACCCTGGTCAGTGCTTAGGAGCTCCTGCATGACGAGGGGCTGTTGTAGCTAGTGCACGCACCCAGTCTCTATCTCAGAAACTCCATCTTTCCCAGTGCTTTAGAGCAGAGGCCTTTCACTCCTGGCTTTCCCGGCTTCCTGTTCACTCTCCTTCACTTCTATGCCACCCTCACAGGCCTCCTTGCTATTTGTTCTTTTCAGTGAATCGAAAATGAGGTCTAACCCTAATATCTGTGCAGTCTTGCTATCTTCTGAGTAGGTGCAAGTGTGTGTGACAGAATGTTTGGGGTGTGGCATGGGGAACCTTGGTGTGCGCTCTGCAGGGCAGGAATGGGGAGCCATGAATATTAACCTGGTGTTGACACGATGTGGAGCGTGGCATGGCGGCAGACACCAGCCATC